ACCTGCATCCGAGTGCCTCTCCAAGTGCTGCACAATGGAGTCCTGCTTTTGAACATAAACGAGAATTACTAATGGCATCCTTGAAGGCAAAAGATGTGCTGATCAGCATAATGGGGCACAAATATCCACACAAATGGTAACAGGCCTTTCTAAAAAAAAAAAAAAAAAAGAGAAAAAAACAGTACCAAAAAATCCTACAAACATTTAATCCCCATCTGGCTTTGATCAATTGAACTGAATGCAACTGTGCACCTTGTTGTTGGAAATTACAACACAGAATGCACACAAATGTAATTATTCTCCTCTCTAGTAACTTCTTTACAGCCAAGAGAGATGTATTGAAGAATGAGGTAGCGGGGAGGGAAACGTTTTAGCAGCTCAGAAGAAAATAGATCTCTTCAAATTGAGGAAAATACTCAAGGAAGTAAAAAATCCGCAAACATGTATCACCTCACTAGCTTTATTTCATATTCTTTTTGAGGACTCTCTTAGAAGATTTGTCCTCAATTGACTCTTCTCTGGGATTTCTTTTCCATAATTCTACTAGATGGAGAGGGAAAGAAAAAAAACAAACAAAAAAACCCTCAGTTGTCTAAATGTCAGTGCATTCACCGTCAAGCCCCAGGACCCACAGTGAGAAGCCGGCACCGAATTAGCGACAGTCAGTGCCAGCCTGACAGAGGTGTCGCACGCCGTGCGAGGCGGAGCTGCCCCTAGGACTTTGCTTTCTGCTGAGCAGTTTCTGCATAATCCCTAGGCAGGGGCAATCCCCACTCCTAAGGCCGGGCGATGGGCACCGCCTGCTACCAAGCACTAGAGCTTCCCAATCTCCTCCACTCCTAAAAAGTGGAGTGGTGGAGATCCACCTTCTGGATCCCAAGGGATGTCTCAGTGGTCCTAAGATCTACCTGCTGTTTTGGGGGAGATTGGCCGGTAGGGCTCTAGATCAGAGGTCTGGCATAGAAGGAGGGAATAAGCAGAGGTGATGGTTGGAGCCACTGCCCTGACAAGCCCCCCACCTCTCTTGTAACGAGCTGGGTATCTGTGTAGCCCTCCGGGCACGCTCAGCTCTCCCTGACCACGGCTTCCTGCCGCCTCCCCGCTCAGGAAGCCCCAGCTCTGGAGAGGAGCTGCCAATACAGAGGCCAGGGCAGGGGAGAGGGGAGGGAGCCAGGGCCCACCAGCTACCATGGAGAGTGGTCTCCGTGCATGAGTCCTGCCTGGCTGGTGTCCATACATGACACAGAGCAAGGAAAAAAACCCTGCACACCTCCCTTGCCTGGAAAAACTCTGCTCGGGGCTGGGCGCCTTGCCCATACAGTACACAAGGACCTGCCAGGTGCCCAACATAGGGAATTCTGCTGTTCCGGAGGCCATGTCCAGCAGGATACTGCTAGGAGCATCGTTTGAGGCCAGAACCACCCCTACACATTCCCTGCCTTAGATAAATCACACTGCTGCAATAAAGCACCCGACGTAGCACCTTGAAGATCTAGGGTTAGTACAGTCTTGTAAGAAATTATTTCAATAAATAATTGAAAGGGAAAGCCCAGACATCTAGGCACACGCCAACAGTTCTGCAGTGACACTGGGGTGGATCTGGCTGATTCTACAATAATGCCTAGGTGCCTTATTTATTACTAGTGTTCTCTCTGTTTCCTGCTATTTGAATAAACGTCCTGAATGAATTGTCCATTGCCCACACAGTTTTCAAAAATAATTTATTTTTAGCTACGTGTTCCAGGTAGGTGGAACAAAACTTAATGCATTAAAAAAAATTAAATTAAAAAATCCTTCCCTCCCCCATTCTCTATAAAAGGCGGCCAGCTTTCTTCTGTCTAGTACCCCTGCTCAATTTCCACAAGGCCTTTAATTATTAAAAAAGCAAACAATTCATAATTCCTAGAAAAACCAAAGGAGATTTAAAAAAAAAAAAAAAAAAAGAATAATCCCTCCTGCCATAATCTCCCCAACACAACTATCTTTCCACTGTCAGTTGTGAGGACACTTTCCCAGCCTTACGACACAGCTCTTCTCTTTGCTGGCAAGAGGCGAGCACAAGCCAGCTCCTGGTTATTATTCTGAACAGTCATCTCTTTCTTTCACCTTGGCCTGCAGTTAAACCAATATACCGAAAACATTCCATGCTCCTTTTCATATTTTTTTCCAAGGAATGGCTGTTTCTGTTGCATTTGACGTGACAAGCAGAAGACACTCAAAAGATTAACTGACTTTGATCAGGACTTGAGAAATATGAAATGACAAAAAATAAACATCCATTGCTTGCATTACTGAAATGGCTGCCCACACAGCAATACACCACTGAAGCACATGTGACAATTCACTGTTTCATCCTTTAGCCCTTCTGCATTTAAAATTGAGGATATATTAAGTGCAAAGATCGAGAACAATCGACCTAGGATCTACCTATGTGTCCCGGGAATATTTTGTCCTGGGCTGGCTGTAGCTCCAGCAGTGCAAAACCCCCATTTGGAAGGATGCAACCCACCGACGAGAGGATTTTAGGGGTGCACTACTGGAGAGGTTTTAGGCTAGGTAAGGCATGCACTTGCAGTCCCTTCTGCACACTGATACAGCAAGCTACAAAAGGAGGAGGTATCACTAGATAGCTGCACCGCTGTCATTGCATCGGTACAACTATTTCCAATATAGAGAGGACCTTAAACAGAAATCCCTATGACAGGCAATGTTTACCACTGACCTAGTTATAAGACAGCTAACAGTTTAGTTCAAAAAAACAGTGTATAAAACGAGCCTTGTTACCTGTAAGTGGACAGTGATGATTATAGTTCAGTCTATGTTATTATTGCCTGATTGTTCCCAGTTTTCCTTAACATTTTTCACATATTGACTCCTTACTCAGGGCTTTTAACATAGATTTGAAATGTGAGTATGTTTTATTTTTTTTCCCCAGTAAATATACAATACACACTTCAACAGTACTATTAACCAACTTTTTATGCCAATTAAACTTTGCTGCACTAACAATACCAATGAAACACATTAAGAGGTCATACTTTTCCGTGAACAAACTGTAGTCAATAAACAGTTTAAAAAAAAAGAACAAATTAAAAAACAAGTCTAAGTGCTGCCACAACATCCCTTTTCTTTCAACACATTATTCACAATAAATGTTTTCCATTTTTTTAAAAAAAGGAATACTTCTTTTAAAATAGTAAATTAAATGGCATCTTAAAAAATATGTACTGTGGTTCATTGGAAGTACATTGTATAGAAAAAGAGAAAGAGAAAAAAAAAAAAAAAAAAGGAAGAGACATCACCTGTACGATAATGGAGACACTTTGCGATACACAACACCTTATGTAATATCGTAAGCAAATTATTAATGAACAAAAATGTACAGAAGCAGATGGACAAGTTAGTGAATATCATGGTACTGCACAGCTTTAATACTGACACACACTTACTTTCCAGTGGAAGAGATAAAACACATATTTGAAAGTAACTAGGATGGCTTTGTCAACTTCTAGTTTTGCTTTAAGTAGACTACAGTGAGTAAGGTGTTCCACCAAAGCTCAGCACAGGCTGCCAAATTAAAAGGAAAAGAATCTACTGGTGACTTAGTTAAACATTTCTCGGAGAATTAAATTTGAATTAGACCCTGAATAATCTTTTCTTCATATGATAATACCAATATAAAAACCATACATATATATATATATGCACAAAACCACACATACATATATATATATATATACACTTATACATATATATATGAACAATGCCTTCTTTATCTTATTTGAGCATTTTTGCACATTTTCAAATAATAGTTTTAACTATTAAGTGGGATTTAACAAGAAGGAAAATTACATAGATTCATTGGTCACAGATGTAAGTGAATTCATACATCTTTTTTGATTTTTTTTATTTGTCACCTGCTAAATAACAATCTCATCTTGAAGGAAGTTAACTAGCATTTTCTGATATTCAGCAGTGCTGAGTTAGAGATGATGGCTGTAGTGTTTTATCTTATCATGGAACAAGCTAATGAAATGAAAAGCAACATGTATTTAGCACTGTAATTTACTTTTCTAAGATTCTGCCATTCCTAAAAGTGTTCTTAATACTGGTGAGCTCCAAGGCAATATATAAAACAACATAGACTGATTATACGAAAAGGTTATTCAAATGAAAACTTGTGTTCATTGTCAGATAACTAACAGAAATAAGCTGTAGGTTGCAATATTTAAATTAAGCACCAAATGAGTGGGCTATCCACATATATTATTCTACAAAATTTTTGACAATTTACTCATTGGGATTTAAGAGGTACAGAAGATCCAGACAAGATCATTAAAATTAATGATGAGACAGGATGCTGTTATTCATGTCCACTTACAGAGTTTGGTTTATTCAAAAAAAAAAAAAGTATAAACATGCGTTATTTCCTCTTTATAGTAGGGTTTAAAGCCACTCGCTAAAAAACAGGTCAAAAATTTTCTTTGCTTGTATCCAATTTTTTTGGATGTATTGCAAGAAATATACTTAATGCAAACTGAAAATCTTTTGACCATTGCTTTCCTTTCAAACACTAAACATTTCACTACAAATTTAGTGGATTCAATTTCAGCTCTCGCAGACTTCAGGTAACAGAACACAAAAGTTTGTCGAGACTTCATCAAAACAATTAATGTCATGAATTTCAGTGGTGCAGCTCTATCCTCTATTGTACTGTACATGTATTGGAAAGATGAAATACGATACTCTGACATATTTCATTTTTTTGGAAGCAGCCTGAATATGTCTTAACAATAAATTGCATCCTAACTACCTACTAGGTATTCCTTGAGTTTATATTGTTTGCTTCTCCTGGGAGATCTCTGTCTCATATTTGGGGTTGCAGAAATTAATTAATTATAGCAATTCCTTTAAAACTGCAATATAAAAACAGCTTTAGTGAAACACCTTAATTTCTTTTCTTTGTAGTAAGGTTTGTTTTTCTTCGCCTTTACTCAATGGCCTCAGATGGCTAAAAACAGATAGGACGGGTTAAGAAGCTTATCATTCTAGTGAAAGGGTCAAGACCATCGTACGCTACCTTCTATCTTCATATTCACTCTTTAAACTCACACTTCCATCTTCTGACCCCTTCTTAAACAGGAAGAACAACCATGTCATTTGCTTTTAAAAGATTTAAGTCTCTCTCTGATGCCTTTATAGACATCAGATTTGCCTGTCACTTTCTTATTTCTACACCCCAATGGAAAACCACCTAATATGCTCCATTACATCCAGCATTATTCAAAGTAGCTTACAGTACATAAACGTTCTTCACACATTCAGTCTCTTTTTTCTTCATGTCATGAGGAGTAGAGTTTTGTGCTTATCACCAAATAAAATTGCAGTGCAAACTTTAAACATAAAAGTTACACAATTAAAAGTTAATATATGGCACCACAGCCTATTAATTCACATATAGTACAACAGACCAATAAAAACAGACATGAATATGAACATAGCTAAAAAGATGGTGAGCTTGCATAGCAATGCAACAAAAGAAATTATATACAGAAGGAAATCCTTTTCATCCTGGAGGGTGATTTTTTTTTCTTTCTTTTTTTTTATATACTCCTGACAAGGAATAGTTTAAGGTGGATGGTGTAGAGAGAAGAACACAAGTAAAGTATCTGTGGGATATGTGTGGCTGTGTGTCTTTACATTGCATTTACAGTTCTTTTAATAGTACATAAATAAAGAAAATGTTCATTGCACTGTTTAGTGTCATCACTTCCATGAGTTCAGACCTGATGGTCCATCAAAGCAGCTTGCAATGTGTCTTCTCAACTACTCTATAGAGAGAAATAGAGAGAGAGAAAGAAACAGATTGTAATAAGAAAACAAAACAAAACAAAGCACCTATTCCAAAACAAAACAAAATATTACTGCAGCAGGAATATGCAATCATTTTGGGGAAGAAATTCAATTGTTTCCAAGATAAAAGGTGAGAGATCCTGAAATTCAGCACTTACCCATATCTTCTGAGACAGCACAGTTTAGGGGTTGTGGACCAATAGCTCTCTGACAAGCTACTGGAAGGTAACTGTAGACAGATAATGAAGGTTTGGCTACAGCAAATATGAATCAGGCTTGCCAAGAGCTACATGGGGTTTACTAGTAAACTTAACAGGATGCCTGAGTTAGCCGTGATGTTTGTGTACTAGCACATGCAACAGAGACAAACCTTCTGATATTTAGTACTACTCTCATGTGTGTGGTATTAACATGAGCATTAACAAAACATTAACATTTATACTAGGTTTTAGTGGACTCTGAGTGATAATGAAAGGCAAACTAGTTCTTCTGACATGGGGAGTTTGAGGAAAGTGTTGGAAAATGCAGTTGAGAAACTGGGCTACACAGCTGAAAAAGAGGTCCCCAATCTGAGGTCAAAAAAAAAGGAACACTGCAGGAAGAGCAAAAGCGAGCCAGGAGATGTTACAAGACTGCTCAGGTGTCCATCAGATTCAGCATCATTTCTTATTCCCTCTTCGGAGTCCTTCACCAGTGGCATTTCTGAGACTAGGACATTACACTTTACCAATAAAATTTGGAATCATCAGGATTCTTTTCAATTTTCCTATCATTTTCATTTTCATTAGCCATACTTAAGGTTCTCTAGGTAGATGGCCTTGGCCTCGATTACATGGTTCTGAATTGTTCCAGACCCAAGAGCCTGGATGAACTTTTTTGTCATCACAGGAAAAAAGACCTCAAAAAGTCTTTTGACTTTGGTAAAATTTTATTTATAACACTGAACTTTCTCCTGTCTAGAGTTTCTCCTGCCTCACTCCATGCATCATAATCTACAATTTGTCCCTTGTCTCTCAAGAGTTTGAACTGTAGCTAGAGATAAACTTACATAATTCACCAGTAAACTGTCCTTGACTGTTTGATCCCACATAGCCTACATCAAGAAGGTCACTGGCATTGCGTTGGTGACCTCCACGCAAGACTTCACCTTTTCTAGGTCCAGTCGATCCTTTAGAAGAAGCTGTTCCTGAAGAGCTGTGGCCACCAGGGGATGGGAAGTTGGGTTTACTATAAGGTACCAGTGCCTCTTCTAGAAAAACAAAGCAGAACAAAATCAGTATAACAGGAATAAAAAGGCTTTCCTGATGTGGACCTCATACTCTTTCCTTGCCTTCAGATACGTCTCTTCTGTTTTGTTTTATACCACAGCAACTAACCACAGATAAAGACACCAGCATGAATTTTGTCTTGCTTTTATGTAAACTCTGTTAATCTGTATTAATTATAAAAAATCTAGATTCATTATGTAGTAATAGATGATGAGTCATAGATTGTTTAATAAAAATAGCTGCACATACAATTTCCAAAACAATGCAGCTATGATTAGATTTTTGCTTCAAGCCTACATGAATGTGCTTTTTCCTTTCCTTTAGCTTAAATTATGGTAACATTACCTCAATCAATTTGGATAAAGAACTACCATATCAGCTAATTTAATTAGTTTCCAGCAGCTAAGTAATTTCTAAGGCTGTGGAGAACACTGGAGATATTTTTAACTAGTTGTGAATTACACTTGAAAATCTTATATTATACATAGCTGTAATATTTGGGGTGAGTAAATCTTCCCACAGCTTGTTTCATGTTCCATTAGGAGCAAGAGCCTTGGGCTCACTTTGCCTCTTTCTATGTGAAGAGCTGTAATAACGAGGTGCTGATGAGTTCACGTTTAATACCTAATAAACCATACATCTGCACATGGTAACACAGCATCAAGTAAAGCAAGACCACATCTCAGTTCTAGGAGATATTGTTGCAATAACCCTAAGAAGCAAAACAGTAGCACTGATTTAATACTGAAATAGAAGCACTATTTTATTTCTTGGCTGTGTATGATCCACTTTTACTAACTTACAGTCTGCAGAAGGAAGCATTACTCAATGCAGTTTGATTCAAGAAAGGATATGAGCACACACTTAACCTTAAACACAAGAATTACCCCTTCTGAAATCAGTGGCATATCTCCTGCTTAAATCTCACACTTCTTAAAAGCAAATCTGGGCTGAAAGTGTTCTTTCATTTATTTATTTATTTATTTAACCAGTGTCTTCACTATTAATCAATCTGCTGAGGCAAAACATTCTGTTTGTGACAGAGGACAGGAACACAGAAGGAAAAATAAATGGGGATTGGAAGGAAAGATGAGAACAGAATGTTTTTGTTCAGAATCTCAAAGCTTTTGCCACAGCTATAGCAGAGGCAGGAGCACAATTCACTTGGGGAAAACTCAAATGAGAACCAATATATGGAGGAAAGCTAGAATTTAATTGCTAAATTCTACTTCCACAGGTGAGTGGGGCATGGGAATTCGCCTTATGATCTCCTATTGAACCTACTGATCCTTTCGTAAGGTAAATCTGCTGGAAAGAGGGGAGACAGCTGACTTCTTCCTCTGCCAAAGTATCTCCCTACGTCCCTGGCTAAGGATGACAGTATCTGCACTGCAGGACACTGGGACATTATCAATATTTTGTGCTATGACAGCACTGTCCTTGCAGAAATGTAAATAAATAGCTAGAAGACATATTCAAATGGCATTTAATGATGAAAACCTTTTAAATTATGTTATCTGCTCTTTATAAAACAATCCCTAACAATAGAATCAGATGCAAACTTGCTTTCCAAAGGCTGGCTGAAATATGGAACAGCTTGCATTAAAGCAGCAATAAAGCAAACAGCATAAATCAGTTTAGCAGAAAGCTGGATACATTTTTAGAAGATGGAAAGAAAAACCACTAGCATTGCAAAAGAGTTTGAAGATGACATATACGGTTAACTGATTTGTTTTTCTAGTTTGTGTAATCAGGATAAGACCTCCTTCGGGTTGAATGAAATATTGAGAAAAAAATGACCTTGAATAAATATGAAGTGCATTATCATTATAGAGCATATGGCATGTTAAATTATCTGATGTTTCCTCAGCTATAAATGCAATCCATAAAATAACCAATAATGACATAAAACAAGAGCTTTTCATAGCATTCTAGTACATGAAAGGTAGGTATCTAAAGTCCATAGAATAGGCTTATGTGTTTTAAACAATATACATTATTTGTATCAAAAATTGTCTCAAAATAGGCAAGTCCTGCAAAGAATGTGAAGAGGCTCAGCAATGCCATTCCCTTTGAAAGACTGAGCTTTTAATTTGAAGTTATAAATCTGGTCTCTGCAAATTCACGGTATACATATGTACTAAACAGTTTTTGTATCTCATAAGATAACCACAGGGTTTGAAATGTTATTTTAAGACTATTGTAATTTGATCTAGCACTGCTTTCTTAAAAAGATAGCTGAAAATGTCACATCTGATGTGCTATGACTGAAGATGTGCAACGAAGCCTTTAGCAGGGATTTGGTCATCTTGTCTACACTGAAAGCAATCTGCAGTAAAGAGCTCCAGCATTAGACATTCTCATTCTGTTCAACTTCAAACCAAAGGTTTTTCTTTCAAAATTTCACTCACAGATTGGTGATATCTGTAAAACAGGTCTTTTTTGGAAGCTGATAGTTAATGATGACTCCTTTTAGAAATATCTGAAAATGGTCTAAACCAGAGAATAGATCTCCAGAGTTCTTTGTTGATAGCAAAGAGAAGATGCACAATTAATATTATTAATAACAAAATTTAATCACAGAAACAAGCACCCTACACAAAAGTAACCTTTTTAAAAATCTACCAGAGAAAAAAATATCGAGCAAGAAAGCTGCCATGGAAAGAGGCTGGGATAAGAAACACAAACAAAATACGAAGCTGTGGCATATCTTGAACATATCCTTTAAGAGCAGCTTCAAATCACTGAAAAAGTGGTATCTCCTAAAGCAATCCTCATTCAAGCATATACAGAATTGCCTTGGCCACCCTGAGCTTAACAAGATTAAGATATCTGCAGTCACTCCGGCCCTAAGTTCATTGACCAAATGGGACATTGGAAGTGTCAAGACTGAATCGTTTTTATTTGGGCATACATAAACGCAAATCATGGAGCACGGGAATTTTGCTACTGTAAAGTCTCTATATTGTACAATAATGGATGACTTGTACCTACACATTTACACAGTAGATAGCAAGGGATTTCTTGCTAGCAAGGTCAGAGAAGCACCCTTAAAATTAGTTTTAAAAGAAAAGAGATACATATAGTATGTCTGTGTTGTTCTATAAAAAATTGTACATCTGCTGCATTGTTCTCAAAGTTGTCATTACACTAAGCAGCATGAATTTCACACCCTAATCATTTAAAAACATGACAGCCATTCATTTGTATATACAACTGAAAGTCTAAGAGTTTTTAATGGTATCATTATTATGTTTAAAAATATGGATATTTACAATATTTACATTTTAAATATGTGCATCAATATTTACTTGGAGGACTTCACAAATCCTACCTCCACAACAGGTTTGCCAGTACCACTGTTTTTCTTAGAATGTCACTGAAATTAGTGTGCTAAGTTGACTAGGAGTATTAGTATTAGAACAAAATTAGAACAATGAATAATATGAGTACCTATAATGTCACTGTGTGAAATATATGCTAATACAGACTAATACATACTAAGTACATACTTGAAGCAGCACTAGACACAGCTCTGCATATTGTGTATTTTTTTTTTTATCTGTTTTGTCTAATTGTCAACTGTTTCACTCTATTTAATAAGCTAGGATAATGTGTGATTAGTGGGTTAAAGAAAATGTCCTAGTAAGGGGATCTTTGAGGTCAGGCTGAGAGAAGGAATCTGCGAATGTTATAGGACTACAACTTCAGTTCAGTATCACCTCCTTTATATGTTTCTACAGGCTTGAAATCCATTTAGATGACCAAGTCTGCACTCAGCAATGAGCAGGTCTTATATGAAGGGGAAAGCCTGCACTGTCATCTTCCTAGGTCTAAGACATGAATTACTTTGTCCTATCTTTGCAGAAAGAGAAAATGAAAAAAATAAATAGAGCTAGAAGGAATGTCTGTAGTTCAGAAGAACTGGGCTACTTGCAGATATGCAAAAACAACTACTGTCAATTTAGAGGCAGGTTGAAAGATCTAGAAATACAGCTCTTTGTGCCTAATACATCTAATAGAAAACACTTAAAAATCTCTTTCTGTTTTCCTGCCTGCCAGAAACCTCTGTTTATTTTTTCCGTTGCTATGCTTTCCAGCATTATTTACTTCCAAAACACTGTAAAGAATGCACTGAGTTAGGTGTTAATGAGATTTTATTTGTTGCAGGAAGGGAAGAACTTGGCTCACAAGCTTTCATTTCACCTCTGTCTTTCTATTTTCTAGCAGAAGCCTCAACAATACTGCAGCACATGGATTCAGGGCAATGTTAGCCTCCCCTGCGTTCGAGACAACCCTAGCCAGAAAGTTCCGAGAAGCTGCCTACGTCGCCTTGGCTGGGGCAGCGCACACACCTGATCCGAACGCTTGTTTGTGTTGGGCTTTCCTTATATCTTCTGGCCGTTCTGTAGAGCTCATCCACTCCTGGGTCTGCCGCTGCCACTCTAATGATGTTCTAGCTTGACGATCCAATGAGCTCTTTGTTTCATCTATGTTCGATGTTTGCTGCCTCTCAAGGGAGCTTCCTTTCCTCTCTGCCGAGCCTCCACGTTGGCCAGGGCCTATTTGCTGCCTTAAACCCTGACCAGGGGGCGGGTCAGGTGGTGGTGGAAGATCTAAAAAACGTGAATAAGATTTAGATGAACTAGTATTTCACTGAAACAGAAGTTTGCAAATGGCATGAGTCACTTTTTTTAAAATTTGAAAAGAGGAAATTTCATGTTAGTCAGAGATGTCCATTTACTTTCCACTATTTTTTTTTTACTCAGAGTTACTGTGTTCCTAGTTATTTCAAACTTCCATAAAAATCAATAGTATCTGAGCCTAGATTTAGTGTCCAAGCACGGGATTAATCCTCTGTGGGGTAAAGTCTACTTAATTCTTTCAGTATCAGCAAGCAATTAAGAAAGGCTTCAAAAAAATTGATCGATCAGACTGACAGTGTAACTTCCCCAATCATACTGGAGTTTGTTTCTTTGAC